TTCCTCCTTTTCCCCCTTCCCTCTCCCCCATTTCTTTAAAAAAAATTTAACTGACACATTGTAATTGTACATACTTATGGGGTACAATCTATTTTAAGTTATTTTTATTTATACATATTTATGGGGCACAGAGTTGACTATCAGTATTTGTGTACAGTCTGTGACGATCAGATCAATATTATTAGCATGTTCATCATTAAAATCAGATATTTTGATACATATATATGTCTTATAATAATCAGGTCAGGGTCAGCTATAACATTTCTGACTTGATTCTATTCTAAAGAAAAGACAACAGAAACAAGACCAACCTTTCAGAAATACCTTATGTTAAATAGTAATCAAAGATCATAAAAAGTAATCCTAATCTAAATAATGAACTCTAACCTTACCCCAAAATAGGACTTGTTGAGGGGGAAGAGCCTGGTAACTGTGTAAAAGTTACATCTTTGTAATCAGAGGTGCAACTCCTCTTCCTAATGAAATGTTCATTATTAACCAACTATCATTAGTTATTCCTATTTAATTAGTCATATCATTTTTAATATAAGTTGCATGAAAAGTTTTAAGATATTTACAACTTTGTATAGGATCTAGTATTGTTGCCTTTTATGAACTGCTACAACCATTTGCCAATGCTGCAAAATTGTTTACTAAGGAATCATGGCAATCATTAACTTCAGCTATATTAATATTTATTATTACATCAATTCAATCTCTTACCTTAACATTAACAATATGAATTTGCTTGGATATGGATATGCATTAATAATGTAAATTAGGGATATTATTTATTCTATCAGTATTAAGCCTAGCTTTATACTCCATGCTAAGATCAAGATGAACTTCAAATTCAAAATATGACTTTTTAAATGGGTGCATTAGGAGCAATAGCACAATTTTGTGTGAAGTAAGTTTAGTAATCATGTTAGTATCAGTTATATTAATAAGTGGGCCATTTACACTACCTACCCTAGCAATTTCCCAAGAATATTTATGATTAATTTTCCCATCATTGTCAATTAACATAACGGAGTTTATTTCAACTTTAAAAGAATATATTTGAGTGCTTCATTTGACAACTGAAGGAGAATCATAACTTGTTTCAGGCTTTAATGTTAAATATGCAGCAAGATCATTTGTTTATCAATTTGAGTTGATGCAATAATGGATGGAGGCTTTTGGAATGTTGGGATGGGGTGCACGTATTTTGCATGGGGGATGGACATTCTTTGAGGACCAGAGAGAAGACTACACTAGGTTGAATAATGACCCCCAAAGATAGCAGGTTCTAATTTTAATGTAAATGTTACACTGTTTGTGAAAAGAGTCTTTGCAGATGTGATTAAGTTAAGGATCAGTGTGGAGAGATTATCTTCGATTATCAAAGTGGACCCTAAATGCAGAGGGAGATATGGCACACACAGAGAAGGGTATACAGAGATGAAGCAGAGAGAGAATTGAAGATACCAGCCTTAAAGATTGTAGTGATGCATCTATAAAGCAAGGAATGGTGGCAGCCTTATTCATCTAAACTCTTACTCCCAACTACCTTACCTTTTTTACCCTACTTTGTGACTGGTGATTCATCTAAGAAACCATGGGGCCAGAGTTATTTTCCTTCTCCCTTGAGTCCTAGATTCCTGTCCACACCAAAGGGTAGGGGCATGCAACTACTTACACTCCATCCCACCCACCTCCCCTGGTTCTGTGGTTACTTTTCACCCTCTCATCACTGTTCCCCTCCTGCAGGGTCTCTTGGACCCTGACTACTTTCCTTCTTGGTTCTGCACCTGATCTTAATCCACAGCACAAGGGGCAATAGTGGAAAGAGTTTTCGAGTCAGAGAGTCTGGTTTTGAATCCTGATCATGACTCTTTCCCTGCCTGAGACCTCAATTTCTTCTTTATAATGTGGTAAATACCTAACATTTACTGAGCACTTACTATGTTCTGAGCAAAGAACTTTACATGTTTTCTTTTACAACAACCCTACAAAACAGTTTTTTTTTTTTTAACAACAACAAAAATCCTCATGCTATAGGTGAGAAAACAAAGACACAGAGAAGGTAGCTGCCAGCCCAGGGTCACCCAGTTGGTAAGAGGTGCAGCCAGGATTCTAACCCAGGTAGTCTGGCTCTAGAGACTTTGCTGTTAACCATCCATGTAAAGGAGATGAAGATTAGATTGAGCATCCAGTCCTTATAGCAGTGCTCAACATTTCCAGAGGGCATTTCATATTTGCTGTGTTTTATGTAGTCTTTCCAAGTAGCAGAAGATGTGTCGGATTATCAACTCCATATATTGGCATAAACACAAGCCTTGCTATCCAGGGAAGTTCTTGTGAAAAAGCATATGGCAAACCATGTGGCTAGTTGTAGCAGAGTCGTTGCAAATGATGTTGATGGAGAATTGTTAAGGATATGAGTCAAGCTTATAATAAACTGATAAAAGCAGAATACAGAACTGTATGTAGAATATGAGCTTACCTGTTAGAAAAATTGTGCTTGGCATCATCAAGTTTATTGAGTAAATGTCATTCCCCTTCATTTGCTAGTCAGACACCTCAACCAGAAACTCCTGCCAGGCTGCTACTAGGTATTCTATATCTTTATGCTTCCCATATCATGGAACAGAAGACTGTGCCCATTGATGAAATTCGATAAATCCTTATTATGTGATAAATGTGTGAGAGGAAATGAATAAAACTTTGGACTTATCTGATCTCCATCTTGAACAATTAGACACAGTTTAGCCATGTTTTAAAAAATGGGATACCATCTCACCCCAGTTAGGATGGCCAAAATCCAAAAGACGCTGAAAGATAAATGCTGGCGTGGTTGCGGAGAAAAAGGAACTCTCATACATTGTTGGTGGGACTGCAAAATGGTGCAACCCCTATGGAAAATGGTTTGGAGGTTCCTCAAACAACTGAAGATAGATCTACCATACGATCCAGCTATCCCACTACTGGGAATATACCCAAAGGAATGGAAATCATCAAGTCGAAGGTATTCCTGTTTCCCAATGTTCATTGCAGCCCTCTTCACAATAGCCAAGAGCTGGAATCAGGCCAAATGTCCATCATCGGATGAGTGGATACAGTAAATATGGTATATCTAAGTAAATATGGT